AATATCTTAGCCACAAAAGGATAAATATTTCGAAGGGCCACTGTTGTAAAATGGGACTGACATCAGGGTTAAGGGAAGACAGAAAAGGAGCGGAGGAATGATGTATATTGCATTGAAACAGATGAGGGAGAGAACTGTTTAAAAAGGCTATATGAATGGGTATTCTTGTCATTACAGAAGTCCAGAGTGAAGGCTGCATAGTGGAGTGGACTTGGGGGGAAGGGATTGCATAACAATGAAAGAGTTTTTCTTTTACTTTTCAAGGAAAAGACTGAACTGGGAGGAGGGGGTGGGTAGAGAGAAAAATGTGACAATGACTGACTGGAAACCCTAAGTCTCTGTAAACTTTCATTAAAATTAATTAAAAAACAAATATATTTTAAAAAGGGAAAGAAAAAACATTCTCACAACTGGACAACAAGCAAAAAACCAACATCCAAACCACAACAAAAAGCCTCAAACAAACTCACTTCAATCTACTTGCTTATGACAAGTCTTATTATTTTATTATTAGGTGATGTTGAGTCAAGTATGACTCACCGTGATACTACAAACAATAGATCTAAACATTGCCCTAGTCTGTGTCACCGTCACGATCTCTGACATACTCGAGTCCAATGCTGCAGTCATTGTGTCAATCTACCTGTTTAGGGACCCTCTTCTCCTTCACTGTCACTCCACCTATCCAAGCATGATGTCAGTCTCCAAGGAATAAACCTTGGGTAGTAACATGCCCTAAGTATGTGAGATGCAGCTTTGTTATCCTTGCATTTATGAAACAACCTTAAGGAACTGTTCCTCAAAAAGTCTGGGAGGAAATGATTGTACTTCCTCCAAGACAGACTGGTTTGTTCTTTTGGCAGTCTGTAAAATAGTCAATACTTTTCTCCAGCACCACAACTCAAAGGCATACATTTTTCTTCTTCCTTCCTAATTCATTGTCCAGCTCTCAGATGCATAGCAAATGATTGGAAAAGACCATGATCTAAATCAAATGCACCTTAGTTCTCAAACTAACATCATTATTCCTCAGTAATATGGAGAGGTCCTTGATCTCAGACTTTCCCGGTGCAATATATCTCCTGACTCCTGGTGGATCCAAGTAAAATGAAGTTATTTACAGTTTCAATCTTATGAAAAGTCTAAGTAATGACTAATGACTTTTACTTGTCACTATAGGACAGCATTGAACTGACCTACAGAGTTTCCATTGCATCATTTGCATCTGAAAATTGTACAATGTAAAGACAACAGAAGAATCATGGCCTTTGAATTGTTGAGGAGAAGAGTACGGAATGTCCTATGTACTGCTTAAAGAACTAACAAGTCTGTCTTGGACAAAATTCAACCAGGGTGCTCTTTGGATGTAGGATGGTGAAACTTCAGTTTACTTATGTTGGGCATGTTTTCAGGAGGTGCCAGTCACATGTTGGGGAAGGTAAAGAATCAGAGACAGAGGAAGACCCTCAAGAAGGATTGACACAGATTGTAACAATGGGCTTGAATATATGTGTGATGATGGCACAGTGTAAGTCAAGGTTCAGATCTGTTGCTCCTGAGTCACTGTGAGGTCGTCTGCTCAATGGCACCCTAACAAGGTAGAGTTGAGCCTCCCTGCATGCTGTTTTCTGTTAAGGATTCTATCCTACAGCTTTGTGCATGTCTTAAAAACCCGATTCCTTAACGTTATGCTAGACACCAGTCATCAAACACATATTTAAGTAATATATTAACGAATTAATTTCATGTTAGCACATTTGACTCAAAAGGTCTCTTTTTCCGATATAGTTAGGAGGAAAAGAGTTCAAATTCTCAGCACTTACAAAAATTATCAAGTCGAGGTCTGGTGGCCGCGTTGGCAAGAAGTTGCACTGCAATCTCAGAGGTAAGTGGTTCGAATCCACCAGATGCTCTGCTGGAGGAGAGACAACCTCCTCCTGTTCCTCCTGTACCAGTCAGATCCGATTTGACGTTTCACACACACACACACACAAAACTATCATGACATTTAGTACAGTCTGTGGCACAGCTTTGATAGAAAGGGTTTTGGCTTGAGCAGCTTCCCATGCCTTCTGGGTAACTAGGCGACCAGAGGTTGGCGCGAAGATCCTCGCTTAGCGGGCACAGCCGGAAGCGCATGCGCGGACTCGGAGCGTGCCCGCCCTCGGCCCCTCCGCCCTCTAGGTGGCGCTGGAGGCCCCATCGCTGCCGCAG